CTTTCTTGGTGACTACTGAGTCCCAGCGATTCAATGGTAACCGAACTATAGGGTTAGTCCGTGTTAAAAACGTAATAGTATAAGTTGGAATGATTTATGGTAAAATTTTATCGATTTATAAATGATTAGTTTATAGAACATTTTGTTTTTGTTAGAAACGAGGAGACAATAGCATAGTATATCACCACTTAACGCCTGCTAAGACCATACGATTAAGATTGTAGTATGGGAGCAAACAATTCGAATGTTTGCTTTGACCGACAAAACTTAAAACCGATAATCTCTTCGTTTGATTGCTAGCTAGCTATCTTTCGATATAATTCAACATACGCTGAGAAAGGAGGTGTTAAGAGAAGAAACTTTGTAGCCTCTATCAATAGACATGCCATTATTTAAACAGTAGATCCTACGACTAACAGTTTTATTATTATTCAGTTTACGTTTTCATCACATGTGAGCAGCTTTTGGAGGACATGTTAGACCAAATACTAATATCCTAAAGTAGGAACTGAAACCGTCACTTCCAAAAAATAATAATGGGATGATTTAAATGTGAGAAAATTATCGAAATAGAAAATAACTAGTTAACAATTACGATAGACATTTTTTTTCAATGGCTAACAGGTGTTCAGTCAGTCAGCATCTAGCAATTTCGGGCATTTTTCTGTTCGTTTAACGAGTGTACTTTGGACCGAATATTTCGTTTCAGGCACCAACTCTCACTATATTTGTGTTTTTCATTCAACATCTTGGTATGTGGCTTAACTAACGTGTTCATAGTACAGATAAATAAGATAGCTTCATGACATGAAATCTTCAATGAAAATGAAACTTTTATATAAAGAACATACCAATTAAGTGATTTGCGAAAATGCTTGAGAATGTAAGATAATAACTGTATGTTTATTGAACATTGAAGAGAGGACAGATAACGTGACACATTATCATTTCATACGAACTCATCATAATCTACTTCCATTATAATGAAACTAGTGAAAAAGTCCTCTTTAATAATAATAATACTTTTCATTAGTGAAACATATTTTAAATCATCTCTCCCTATGAATTACTTTACCAGTAAATTTTCCAAACTCTGGAATAAGCTACCACAATCTATCTGTGAGATAAAATCACTTCCATACATTTGTTTGCTGCACCAATGCTTACTACTCCTCTAAAAATGTATTAAATGTTCTTGCACCTACAAGTATATTTCATTTCACAAATGAGATTGTGGGAACTTTAAATGTTTAGCCATTTTTATTACTGAATCGACTAAGCAAAACTTCTTACCTGTTGTTACTTGATACTTTCAACGTCCCTGGCAACCTTAACTAGATGACAAATTAACCTGACACGTATTATGGTAGATCTAACTAACCTATCGCAGTAATTATCGCCCTTTTTGTTCCGTACTCTCTGCTTCCGTTTTATTTTCTCTAGCTATAGATGGTTATGACCAATTATATATGAAGTAGGAAATGACCGTAAATGTACCGTTCATACATCAGCGGGATGTCAACATCAAAAAAATTAAAAGTTCTCGGCTGGAGCCTTTCATTGCAGTATTACATGTGAAAAATAATAAAAATGAAGACTGAAAGGAGGATAAAATTTTTAGTGATGAGAAATATGTTTGATTTATCCTCTGTTGTGTAAGTCCTTCATAAGAAGAACAATGTGGTAGAGGGGAGACATAAGGGCTTTAGCTAACGTATTGTTGGTGGTTATATATAAGTACATAATAATTTATTTATGCCCTGAAAAAGGAACAAAGTTAAAATGAACTAAAGTTAATCTGTTGCACGATTCCAGCAACAGCATTTTTCTTAAAAAGTATAAGGAGATAGCAGTACGTATAAAACTGGTCGTAGAAGATTACAAAAACCGATTGACACTAGATTATCGAGGTGATATAGCACAAATTTGAGTGTGCATATCTAAATATGTTCAAATGTGTTAAGAAAATTTTATAATGTGTGCAATATTTACATCTATATTAGACTGATTCTTTCCTCTTTGATTTGCTATATTCAGTCAGTTAATATATTGCCAGGATTGCACGTAACACCCATTCATTGTCTTCCCACAAATTCCGAGATTCTAAAGTTCTCATAACTTTCTTTTTATTTCAATAATTTATATTGACGGGATTGACGGGATTATTTTAATGTAGTGATGAATCGGCCCCTTAATAGTTGCCCTTATTAATAATGTGTGCCCAGTTTCCCATGCCTTTTTGAATAGATACTCCATAAAACCCCGACCGTAGCTGCTACCTTGACGTGGTGGTCGGGCTTGCCTATCGTAATGACCCAGCCGAGCTATATTGGCTGGAACATATGTTCCTGTAGGTTCTACCATGCCAGGCAGGTCGATTTGAGAACGGCAAGACTAGAAGCAGCAACTCAAGGTCAGAGGGCGAAGTCGTACTGCTGACTGTAGAGGGGTATGACAGCAGTAAAGTGTTTCCCTCGGACAACCAGCATCTGCAGCGATGCTGCCTTCTCACAAGGAAAGACGGGGCTAGAATAGGTCGACCCAAAAATGTCACACCTCACCCTACCTCACGGATCTCCGTCTCCGGCGGTAAGGCCCTTCGAAGAACGGAGATAACACATTAAAAATCTCTCACAGAAAGGCCGTGCACGACTGACCTCAAGCAGTTGTCCCTTGAGCTCTGCAGTCACGCTCCCAAGTCGTTAAGGCCAACATTAATACAACTTCCTTTTCAGGTTCCTCAAGAAATACCCTTCCACGGTGTAGGCAGCCGGGAAGTGACATTAGCCCTCATACCCGTAACAACACACGAGATCAATTTGGTCACACTCGAATCCTTTCTACACCCTCTAATACCTCTCTTATCTCCACGACTAATTTATTTCACTGTATTATACTCCTTGAATAACATCTTCAAGCCCTAATGTTTCCGATTACTGCTTAAACTCTTACTACCTCTACCACTACGGAATTTGAGTCGACAACTGCATCTCTGTGCTAATATGGTGTGGCAACTCGAACTGATGTACGTACGTACGTACGAAGTTCTACGTTGTTACTGACTGACTGACTCCACAAAACTATTAATGATCATAAATCAATGCAGATAGCTAAGATTGCATAGAAATGATACACGATAGATATATTATACATAATGGAATAAATATTAGGGATTGGTGTGTGATTTATAGATTGTTGATTTAGAAAAAAAAATCACATAAAATAAACGAATCTATATAGTTTATCAATATTTAGACACCTCTATTAGTCCATGTGTAGTTTAGTTGGGAAAAAAAAGAAATTTCAGATCCCAGGTTTACTTGTGATCAATATCAGAGGAGAGTTACATTTTGAAATGCCTATTTAACTACAGACAAATAAAATAATAACGATGGTCATAAAAATTTTGATAATTCGTTTTTTTTTCCAAAGAAAAGAACATAGGATGGTTGAATAAGGAGAAAAATTTAATCAGTTTTTAGTTGTTTATATATGTATGTAGATATGATTCTGTGAACTTACAAAATTGTGCATAAACATGCGCAACACAAGTGGAATGCATATATATTACTTAAATCAATGAAACTGTAATATGTATTCGATGTAATAAGGGAAAAACTTTCAATTAAACAATCGGAAGAAACTATAATTTATGGACGATTCAATTAGATTTAAGATAATATGATTTGGATTTCATTCATTTGACTAAAAAAAAGTTTTGGCAGTTTAGCTGATGTCAGTTCGTGATGGAAAGCCTAACCACCAACTGTAAATCGTCATCCTAATTACACACACTAGTTTGTAATCCTCATTTAAACCAAGTTAGTAAATGGACATTCTCAAGGTCACTTTAGAGTCGCTCAAGGTCATCCACAAATTGTAGTCTCACCGATAATCATTATTATCATTATAAGAAGAAAGATTAATATCAATCCAACATTGTTTTGGTTGATTGTATAAACTTTAATGTATTCCTACTAGACTAGTTGAGAATTAGGAGAATTATTATTGAACATATTAGTATTGCATTCCAGTAGTGTACCTTTAGGGTTCAAATGATAACATGTTAATTCTATTAGGTTACAAAGTTCAGATATTCATTAAATTTACTTAACAGGTATGAATGTGTGCATCACTATTGGTAGTAAGAGTTTGAATTATTTTGTTACTGATATTTAGAATTGTAAGAAAAGGTTTAATGGTTAAATTAGGCAGACTTTTAACCCGTAGGCTGAAAGGATTGAACCACTATTCTTTACCTACTTGAGTAGTTTAAATAGTAATATTATGATTAGCTATCAAATGAGAGAACAATGTGAGTTGAATCTCAGTAAACAACTTAATAATTGATCCTAACACAGTCATTATTAGGAAAATGATAAGTGATTAACAAAATAGGGTAAATGTAGATGGATCCATTTTTTTCTTGTAATAATAACAATAACAAAGCAAAACGTTTTATTCGTAGAAAAAAACATAAATTGTCAGAATCGCGTAATGAACAAAAACTTGAATATAAACACTCTTAATTAACTTTTTTTCCCTAACAATAAATCTATGCTGTTCACTACCTTCAAGATATTTGAAGTCCTAGTAATGAGAGAAGACGTGATTTGCGGGGGATAAAACAAACCCTATCATTTGTGAGCCAAGTATCACTGAAACTGATAGATGATATTTGTATTATATCGCGAAGTGATCAAAGTTGAGACTATGAGTTGTTGGTATACTTATTGAATAGTCTAAAAGGAAAACATAAGCTTTCTATGAATTTTGAAAACTCTGAGGATCATAGATACAGCGAAATCTTATACATAGACAACACAAATGTCCAGGATTTCCTTGGTACTCAACGGTTGCTTATCCCATCTAGCAAAACCAGTCTGTAATTGCATAAAATCTTAATATAACGTTATGTTTTTAAATCATAAAAGTTAGGGCAACAAGAAAAGATGAATTAAATAAGTATTAGAGAATTATAATAACATAAAAAAACATACCCTCTTGAATATTATTATTATGATTCGTAGCAGTTGTTACTCCAATTGTTGTAGCAACGACACTGAGACCACCACCGCCACTGAGATTAAATTGTTCTTTAAAACTATTTTGATGTAAACGATCATATCTTGACAGTGAATTAGGATTATAATTATCCAGTATGGAATCATTTACAATCATATCTGGAGGAGATAAAGATGATGTTCTTTGGAAATTCCAACTATATTTAGAATGTAATACAGGAACTGATGATTGTTCAGTACCGGAAGTGGTTGTATTAGCAGTATTAATAGTAGAAGTAGTAGTAGTAGTAATAGTGGCAGTAGTAATCATGAATTGTGACATAGTTTGTTTACTGAAAAGACGATCTATTGTTGACGATTGATAATCATTTGTTTTAAATAAATTAAAATTATGATGTCCAGATGATATTTTTCGTAAAGGATTAAAAATACTATCACGACTACGTCTTTTTGTTAACTGTTGTTGTTGATGATGATGGGTTGGAGAGACAGATCGTGGATTACTACTTGTATCTGATGAGAATGATGATGAAGCAATACCTAAATCATCAATTGTACTGCTACCATTATTTTTTTGTATTGTTGTACATATTGGAGGGTTACTATTATGAAATAAATTATCATTTTTATTACAACGATCGATTGTTCCAAAATTTGTTGTACCTAAATTTGATTGAGCTGTAACAGTTAATTGAGACGCTTCTGCACATGTAGCCGGTTTCAAATTTGGATTATAACGTAATGCAGTGAATTGCTCAATAGCTATTGTTAACTCAACTAATCGGCTACCATCAATTTCAAATATATATGAACCACGACCTAGATAAGATGTTAAGATATATATATATATATATATATATATATATATATATATTTAATGACAGAAAAGGTGACTAATAAAACGGGGATATACAAATGAATACTAAAATTAGTCAGTAGTGATTACGAGTTAGTGGAATACTACTATCGAATACAACTAGAAGTGTATTAATGTTTAATTTGGAAGTTAGAATGGGCAAACCAAATTATGACTACACTTCATAAAGTCATTAAATGATATATTGGTTGATACATATTACATGGCTTAGAATTGATCCAAATAATGAATAGGTAATGATTTTTCCTCTTTTCTTGGATCACTGATTTTGAAATTATATTGCACTTTTCTATTCCGTGGATTCCTTCTTTATTTTCGCATAGTACTGTTGTTGACTAAAATTGACGATATCACTACTGATCTGCCTTTTGTTTTGATAATTTTATCTCGCTGCGCTGATACGGAATATGAAAAATTGAACCGAAGCGCATATGTCCCATGTATTGCATTGTTCACAGTTGACTGACAGATTGAATATCTATCAAAATTACTTCAAACCAAAAGATCATTAAAAGTATTCTCATACAACTTTAACTGGTTATATCCAGAGATGCAAACACATAAGAAAGCATTCATTCTACATATGATCTGATTAGTAAACTAGCAATTTGTGTTAAGAATTATTATAGTGTTGGACTTTTAGATTTGATGATCGAATTATCGACTATGAGAATAAATGGGATGCCTATTGATAGATAATGTGAAATGACAGCACAAAGTAACTAAATTAATGCTCCTTCTCACAAGACTGAGTTACTGATGTAAGACCTCAAATAAAAAGATATCACAAGACAGCTGTCTAGTTGAATAGACTTTTTATGTGATACAATATGCTAATATACAAAATATTAAAAGAAAGAGAAACATGATTGAATATTGTAGACTATTGGAAGAAATCATTTTTTTAGAGTCATTCACTATCCAATCAATTAAGGCCTTGGAGCTTATCATTAACAAAACAATGGTATCAATTATTTGAGTAGTTTCTATAGATCATAAACGTTGCATAAAACAATAAACAGTTGAATGGGATTAAATTATTCAGTCATATGATATGACTGTATGCAGTGTGCTTAAATTATTTACGATTTTCTAATTAACTTAAATGCACAAGGATCTATATGGATTAATTCAATTCGGAATACCACACATTAAGAGTCAAGATAAAATTACCAAGGCACATACCAAATTAGTAGAAATATCAGTGGAAGTATCAGTAGTTTTATTCGCAACCAACAAAATCGGAGAGGCCTGTGGGCTCTTCAGGGAAAGGAAAGACCCTCGTATATAGTGCGCGACTGGAGAAGGCAAGACAGTCATCGAGATTCAAGAACAGAGGAAAAGATGGGTAGAAAACTTTAAGAAAGTCTTGAATAGACCAAACCCATTGAACACACCGGACATCGAAGCGGAATACAGACCTTCTTATACATTTCACATCAGCGACAGAAGAAATCGGGATGATCTCCAAGCAAATTAAAAGTGGGAAGGTAGCAGAATCTGTCAATATACCAGCTGAAGCTCTGAAGTCAGACATAGAAGTAACTGCAAGCATGCTCCCCGGTCTATTCAGGAAGGTTTGGCAGGAACAACAAGTACCGACGGACTGGAAAGAAGGACACCTCATCAAAATACCGAAGGAGATCTGAGCAAATGAGAGAACTACAGAGGCATCAAACTACTGTCAGCACAAGGAAAGGTTTTCAACAGTGTTGCTGAACCAGATAAAAGATTCAGTAAAAGTTCAGCTTCGAGATCAATGAGATTGCCACACCACAGATGATCACTGAACAATCCGTTTAGTGGAACTCGTCACCATACATCAATTTCCTTGATTGTGAGAAAGCATTCGACAGTGTGGATGGGAGAACATTATGGAAACTTTTTCGACACTATGGAGTTCCTGAGAAGATTGTCAACATTATCCGGAACTCATACGACGGACTACAGTGCAAGGTCGTGCATGGAGGACAGCTGACAGACGCATTCCAAGTAAGGACAGGAGTCAGACAAGACTGTTTACTCTCTCTTCCTCTTGCTTCTGGTGATCGACTGGATTATGAAAACCTCGACATCTGAGGGAAAACACGGCATACAATGGACAGCTCAGAATGAATTAGACGATTTGGACTTCGCAGATCACCTAGCCCTCCTATCGCATACACACGAACAAATGCAGATAAAGACAGCCAGTGTAGCAGCAGTCTCTGCATCAGTAGGCCTCAACATACACAAGGGGAAAACCAAGGTCCCCAAATGCAACACGGAGAACACCAACCCAATCACACATGATCGATAGGCTCTGGGAGAGGTCGAAACTTTCACGTATCTGGGTAGCATCGTCGACGAACGAGGAGGACCCGAAGCAGATGTAAAGGCGAGGATTGGTAAAACAATTGTCAACCAACATCAAAGTCACAATCTTCAATACGAACCTCAAAACAATCCTACTGTATGGGGCTGACACTTGGAGAATTACTATAACCATCATCAAAAAGGGACAATTATTTCTAAACAATTGTCCACGTAAGATACTGAGTGTTCGTTAGCCGGATACTATCTTCAACAGCATACTGTGGAAGGGGACAAATCAGCTTCCAACTGAATAGGAAGTTGAGGAAGGATGTTGGAAATGGATAGGACATACGCTACGAGAATCATTAAACTGCATCACTAGGCAAGCACTAACTTGGAATCCTTAAGGGAACGGAAAAGAGGAAAACCAAGGAACACATTACGTCAGGAATTAGTGGTAGACATCAAAAGGATGAAAAACAACTGTAAAAGATTGCCCAGGACAGAATTGGACGGAGAATACCGATGGGTGGTCTATGATCCTCCACGAGGGGTAACAGGATTAAGTAAGTATTTTAATATACACTAAAATAGTTGGGGACATATTTATGAATGAACTCTTGGTGAACTCTTCTTTAATTTAAGGTTTTTAAAAAATGGTATAAATTCTGGTCTCTCAAGTTGTTATCTTGATAACTAGTGATTTTATGTAGTTAGAGCAAATTTATTCCAAGTAAGTAGTTGGTTCGATAGACTACACTTTATATTAGCATGAGCAGAGTTGATTAAAGCAACGTTCACAGTCTTTGACAGGACGTATGTAGATTAAGATGAGGTTAACAATTTTTTTTCAAATTAACGCAAAGAGTTGGTTTACTGACTGAATCAATATTTGACTTGCAGCTAATATGGAGCACAGGCTCGAACCAAGGCTTTATGTGCTTCAATTTGAAAAGTTATATTGTTATAAAATTTAACTTCTGTTTCTTTCATTCACACACAAACATAAATAAAATGCGAACCAAAGCTTATTATTGACTCCAACATAACGAAAAATAACGACAGGGTATTACGGGAATGTTTCATTTTCAGTGGACAAAAAAGCAGATGATGGATTACCTTTTCCCGAAGCTGGACTGCATTCCATGAAAAACAAATATTTGTTTGGATTATTTAAAGCAGTAGTACTTGGTGGTGTTATCATTGTTGTTGTCGTCGCTGGTACTGTAGATATTGTTGTTAATCCAGTTCGTGATCCATTTCTGTGATGATCTAAATTCAATGGATTACCAGTATTAAACGAAGATGAAGATATAGAAGAAGCAGATGCTGTTGTTAAACTTGTTGAAACGTATGATGTAGAATTATTGGTGATTCCTGTCGTAGAATTACTCGTAGTAGTAGTAACAGTAGTAGTAGAAGTGGAAGTATTGGTGGAGTTAATATTACTATTGTTAGATAAAAATTGATTCGCACTTTGTGCAGGCATTGTCATTGTATATGCTTTATCAACATGATCTAATCGCCAGTTACAAATAAATTTACATCCAGTCGACGGTTCACCTATTAAACATAGACGCCAATGTTGTACATGTAAACTGCCTTGAAGACCTTGAAATAGTTTACTACCATCACCACTATGACGTAATGTGACTCGAAATCGATTGTCTGGATTTTTTAAAGAAAAAAAAATGGAAAGTAAATACATGAACTAATCTACACAAAAAATACCACTCAAATATATATGAAACCAAAAGAAAGGGTTGATATAATATATCTGACAAAAAGTCTTCATCATATAAGGGTTGAAAACAATGATACCATCTGTATAGTCAATCAGTAATAAGCAACGTATAATACGGTATATACGTACACCGATTCAAATTGTTACACTATATCAATGCATAGAAAGATGAAATTATCAAGGAAAATGCAACAGTAATAGAACTAGTAATAATATCACTAGCGGCAGAAAACACTAAGTGAATTCAACTGAAAATACTAAAATCTCCACAAATCCCCCATACTGATAATACACGCTTTCCCAGTGCAGCTGATATTTTAGTCTCTCAAAACATTCTTAAGTGAATTCGTGACGATACCTAAAGAAATAGCCTACTAAGAAATATACAATAAGCAAGTCATTAAATTTTGGAGTCAAACTTGAGAAAGGTACCCCAAAGTTCTCTATACAACAACAATTGATTACTAGTATGGGGGTTGTGGAGATTATTACGTTTTTGATTGAGATCATGAACCGATTAATGTTAGACCACCACCTTTGGAAACCTGGAAGCACTGGATGGCCGTTTCGTCCTATTGTGGGACTCCTCAGTAGGAGTCCAGTTAGTTAAGCATTCGCGCGCGAGATCGAAGGCCCTGGGTTCGAATCCCGCGAGCGGGATTGTGGGTGCGCACTGCTGAGTCCCACAATAGGACGAAACGGCCGTCCAGTGCTTCCAGGTTTCCAAAGGTGGTGGTTCAACATTAATCGCTTTATGATCTAAATCAAAAACAATTGATTAGTTTCAGTTTGTATACAAATTGGATAAAATCTCAACATTGATGTAAAGTTGTAGTAGTTAATTCTAGTGTGTTTAAAAAAAATATATTTCCGTTTATAATCATTTGTGATATTTCAGTCAGTGATATAGCTAAAGAGAGAAGCAGATTTTTTTCCTGTTATTTACATTTTGATTGCATTTTACTAAAATAGCGAATTGCATAATTATTACAGGCTATTTTAAACAATTTTTCTAAAATTATAGTTAAAGCAATTCATTTGTTGTAGAATGGGCATCAATTCTGGTCTGAGCCATGCTGGCGGTAGATGCAGACTACTTGGTTGGAGTCCGCGTGACTATCGTAACCAATGGTTGGAGACTCTGGAAGACATGGCTCAGAATCGATCACAATCGTGTCGGTGCATACACTTCCTGTCTTTCCTTAAACTATGAGATTAAAATCGCTTCACATCTTTATACCAACTAATTCTTTCTTTCTATAGTACAATGGCAACCAGTATTCAGGATGCATAATAGCATATGCCAAGCGTATTTTCGCACATGTTTAGTCGGCCATTTCTATTATTGGTCTCATTTTAGAGTAGTGAATAATACTTGGTATGATTATCTGCTAACCGCTTAGTTTGTTCGATTTTCAGTCACTCACTAGGTTATATGATGTGTTAGTCGAAACAGCTAAAGTAGTGAGACAATTAACTAACTTTTCACGATGTTCTCTCCAGGGTTTCAGTAGTTTTTGGAATTTGTCAGTGAACTTGCAACGCCCCTAATTGATTGTATCAATAACCAAATGCCACCAGATGTTTGTTGCTCAAGTAAATTTAAACAGCTTCAGTTTATTGCTGCATCCAGCTGTTACTTCCATTTCGATATCGCATCCTAACCAAGTTTAATAGTCTTCATGTACTCTTTGAGATTCTTTAATCAATCGATATATTCATTTTATTTTTCATCACAAGCCACCATAGTCTAAAAAAGTCAGTAAGCTGTAAGTATTCTACAGAATCTCATTTCCACGGTATTTTGCAGGTGCAGTAAATCTCTACTTCACACTGGATTGACAACTAACCTTAAACCTAACTCGTCTTGACATTTGTTTGTATCATTAGGTGTATCTTGAGTGCTGTTAGAGGTATACACTCTCTGTCTTCCCTTAAACTATGAGATTAAAATCGCTTCACATCTTTCTTTCTGTGAACTAATTCTTTCTTCCTGTAATATATCCTTATATACAGTCTTTCTTTTATATATTACCACCATTGACCTAACTACTTCTATGGAACTGGTGTTCATCTTGTTGTGCTAATGAGGTATGGCAACTTGGACCGATGCATATATGTGCCTGATCCTACGCTGTAGCTGACTGATCGAGAGTAAGTATCAAATGATATTTAAAATAGATGGTAGAAGTTGAAACAAACTCCATAGCATTCAAAACTGCAATTGTAAGGGTTTTTTCGTGATAAGCACAATCAATCAATTTGTCGGTCAGTCAGTTATAAGCATCAGTTCAGGTCCCTACATTAAAATAGCACAGTAAAATGAAATTAAGACGGAATGGTAGCCAAAACATCAAGATACTAATAGTAAGTCAATGACCGTATAGTAGGTTAAACATAAAGAATATGATTCGTAAAGTAACAATGAACTCGCAAAATGAAAAGTAATGAAAATGTCATTTTAAATCTCACGTATAACAAAGAGTGAATAAATCTATCCTACTGTGACCGGTATTGAGCTATATCACTTAACGTCTTCAATTGTTGGTTGCAGTTATAGCATAGATACCAACTAGGTATTCTGCTAGCTACTACATCGGAAAGTCTATATGCATGTGGGAATGATTGAGTAAAATATCATTAAAAAATATAGTTATCTCGTGATTTTTAATATATCAATTGTACTGTAAAGAACATCACTAAAAAGATTTTCTTCGGGGAAGAAGAGGGATGTATCCACTTTGAAAAATTAAACTCATGACATTGAAATTGAAAAAAAAAACAAAACAAGAACATATTTTACACAACAGTTTAAACTTTCGGCTTTTTATACATGTATACACCTGCTAAGTAAAACATGTGATAATAGCTATAAAAAACCTAGTGTATATCACCTGATAGACTGTGTATAACAATGTATCACATGTGTCATTACTACTTCATTAACCTGAGTTTACCTAAATGTACAGAATGTAACCAAAAAAACAAAAAAATGAACTAATTAATTCCATATGAGATCACATACATTAAATTCATGAAAAAGAAAACAATTTGACGAGTTTTGGACAAAAAAAAAAGGCAAACAAACAAACAAATAAAATACCAAAAAATAATCGTTGTTATCCAAGATCTGATCCAATCAATATGCGATAAAATTAGAACAGGTAAGCGAAAGAAAATCCCTTCAAAATTTCACTAAATTAAGCAGCATATTTAATTTAAAAGGATCAACATATATTAGTAAGAAGAAAAGATCCAACAGTGGATTCTGATATAGTATGCATATGTTCAAATGCTCCTCCTCAGGAGTCAGTCATATACTCGACGCACAACTAAATAAATAGGTCATTGTATTTTTGAATATTACCCTTCATGGTTGACTAATCTACTAAAAACAATAAAGAGAAGATCTGTGCAACCTGATCTTCTAATTAATTACAATTACAACTGGCGAGTTTTTCGGTTTTATACTTTGCATCACAGACTTATCTTAGTTAAGTATCGATTGGCATAAAAGAAGTACCGGATATATGCGTTTTCTTCCTAATATGAGACTTCTGCACATTCAGCACCCTACTGGGCATAAAATCCAAGACTTGAAGGTCTAGCAGCTAACGATTAAACTTAGGATCAGCCTGAAACTACCTACAAATAATAGCTTACGTGTTTAACTTCAATTTTGTTCAGTCTCGACTTTCAACTTTTCCTTACAATGTTTGGCTTTAACAAGCTAATTACTTTAAGTTCTCGGCATTATATTCATAAATAACACTAAAAATTCTTAACCAAATGCTTAATTTCAGAATTACCAAACTCCAATTTTTATTTTTGCGTAACCAGTTGCAATCATTGAGTTATTTTATTTCAACTATAATTTTGCATCTTTTGAGTTACTAACTGATAAAGCAGTTCAGAGAAAATATTGAGATTTAAATTGTTAGCTGGATGGAGGAAGTCGACAGGAAACCCTATACCTGATTTTCGTGCTATTTGGCACTTGTCAGCAAATCATATCCGTAATCTAGATGGAACTCGCGCCTGCCAGGCAATCTCAACCAGTGTCACCCGGTTACGCTGACTGAGAAGTTACCAGTAAGTTATTAAGGTTACAAATGACTTTCTGTGTGACTGTAAGATAGAATCCGATTAGCATTGAAAACGACTAGATAAACTCTACTTGGTGATCAATCAATTGAGACAAATATTTAGTAAATTGATTCACTACTATATATATTTGGTACGGATTTTTATACTAAATTATGACACCTATGTATAGTAGAGTGTAAAACCATGAAGAGTAACTACTTTACATCTGTCAAATTCAATATTACATTGCTATGATTCAAAGTGACACTAGAGATTGTCAAAAAATATTCAATACAATGTCAATTTAGGATATATTCACAAATTCCCAACACAAAACAAACTATTTCTACTTTTTGTCTACAAAAAAATAGTACAAGGAAAAATAGAGACCCACATTAATTAGATAAGGCTTAAATTAACTAGTTGAGATCATGAGTCAATTGAAGCTAGATGACCATGGAAAACCTGGATGCATGACTAATAAATTCTGCTGATATCATACATTTATTCTTAACTGGAATTTTCCCTTTTTAAAAACGGTTTTTTCTCATGAAGAAAATTGTACGAACTATGTATTATAATAGTGTAGGAGTAAAGAAAAAATAACACCTCTATTACAACTTACTGATTACGAATATTTTCCATGATTAACAAACAAATCAGAAGAGGTTTTTGTAGAGATTTTAGTAATTTCAATGGTAGAAATCATCAATTAATTGAAGCTAGACCACCATAGAAAACCTGGAAGCACTGGACGACCGTTTCGTCCTAGTATGGGACTCTTCAGCGGTGCGCTTAAACATTGACTCATGAATTCAACTGTTGAAATTACTAAAAT